TTACTCGGAGGATCGGGGTCGTAAGAAGGGCAACAAAGCAGAGTTAGGAGTCCCTGTAAAGGGACTTGGGAGTTGGCCGCAGTTTCATACGAGGTTGGGATGTTCCCCCTTATGCTAACAGTGCTTAGTAGGGATTATACGGACGACCTCCTATTATACTCCCTATTAAGGCCGGTTAGAAGAAGGGGGCGACATGCCCAGCTGGAGGGCTTAAGATTTCTGGGGAGGGCTTCCGCAAAACCTTCCGCATGCTTCCGTCACAGCGCCGCACTTGGTCGGGCCACCAATGCAAACCAGATTTCCGCACTTGCTTTGAGTTTCCGTAAGCCCCTGAAACGATCGTGGCTCGGGTGGGGCTGAAGTACTGCGCCAGAAAAACAACCCTAAACCCCCAAATCCCTAAACCCTAAACCCTAAACCCTAAACCCTAAACCCTAACCTCAAGGATGGAAGTGAACCAAGAGCCCAATCGACTGCACAACGGTTTGCAAGGTCGAAGCTAAACCCTAGAAAACCGTGACGCAGATCCCGGCCTGAGATGCTGAAGAAGCGCATCAAGTAGTCCTCTGCATTGCGCATGTTCGTATAACGTTTGGGTTTAGGGTTTAGGGTTTAGGGTTTAGGGTTTAGGGTTTAGGGTTTAGGGTTTAGGGTTTAGGGTTTAGGGTTTAGGGTTTAGGGTTTAGGGTTTAGGGTTTAGGGTTTAGGGTTTAGGGTTTAGGACTCTTCTTTTAAGGTTTTTGGGCCCAAAGGCCTTCATATATAAGGGCTATTTTGAGCCTAAGGCTAAGGGTCGTTGCCTAAACCCTAAACCTTTAGGAGGAGTGCTGCACTTCTTTATGAACTTTGCACACGCATCGACCACGGATGAAAGGACTGGGAATGTCACCAGCAGTGGAGCCAGTGAGAACCCCAGAAAGTAGGTCATCACGAATGCAGGCATCTTGGATCCTGGCTGAATCACGTCTCTGACAACCCTTGCTGCGGCCTTCAAGTTATCGTCAGCACTGTCACACAAGTTGTTCATCAGTGCGAGGGCGGGAAATCGAAGTCCTGTCGGACTTGACGTCAGATTGGTGATCTGCATCGCAGTGCTGTGGTTTGGCAACTCGTTATACCGCTCGTCACCGTCCTGGATGCCGTGGCGACCCTCCCTGTGACCCACGTTGCGCGTGACTGAAATACGCTTCAAGCAGGGTAACCCTAAGGGTCCATGTACCTCATTATTATATACTTGGGCCCCAAAGTCCCTATATAGGAAGTACTTTAAGACCCAAGTATATAATAATCAGGTACATGGACCCTTAGGGGTAACCCTAAGCCCTAAACCCTAAACGGGCTTATACAGTGGTTGAAGCTTTAGCAGTGCATCCGACAACCCGACACCTTAAAGCCAATCAGTTAAGGGGTAAAAGGAGGGACCCCTAGAAGGGACCCTCAATCTTCTTCCCCTGCCTATATAACCCCGGTACATATATATATATATATATATATACATATAGTAGACCCTAGAAATCCCCTATATTATTTACTAGACCCAAGAGTAACCTGGGAATAAAAAGGGTGCCCTCATTGGTTTGAAGGGGCTTGTAAGGGAACCTAAACCCTAATTAAGGAAAATAAGGGCCTACTCTGGGTCCTAGTATACCTATACCAAAGTGGCCCCCAAAGAACCTCTAAATTACAGCTAAGGGTCCCTTAGAAGAGTCCCTCCCTTAGTCCCTTGAATCAGTGTTGGCCAGGCCACTTCGAAGAAGTACCAGGTCACCAGGGCTTCTGTCGCTAGCAGGATGACGACCTTTGCGAGAAACACCCTACCTGCTGGTGGTGCACTGCCTTACAGGGGGATCAGAGGGTAGCCTCTTGGTTTTCAAGCATTCCTAAACCTTAATCCCTAAACCCTAAAGCCCTAAACCCCAAACCCTGAACATTTAACGATACCCATGCAGCACGTAGGATTCTTGCGGTTCTCACACGGCTCTCTAAACTCACGCTGCATACCTTGATGCAGCTATTCTGTACAAGCACATAAAGGGAGACCAGCCCAGAAATCTGATGCGTTAAAAAAAATATACATGTCACCTATCAACACCGCCTCTCTAATCAATATTCTGGCTTGACCCTCGGGCGTCATCCTGCTATCCGCACTTGCAAACCGTAACCTCGAACCAACCATGTTCTGGACATCCCTATTGCTCTCAGGATTCATGGGCTTAGGGTTTTGTTATTGGGGGTTGGGATTTAGGGTTTAGGGCAAGTTTAGGGTTTAGGGTTTAGGGTTTAGGGTTTAGGGTTTAGGGTTTAGGGTTTAGGGTTTAGGGTTTAGGGTTTAGGGTTTAGGGTCGAACTGCTTTCTTCTAGGGTTCGTTGTGTGGCGAAGAGTGATTCTGCGCCTTTGGACTTCGAAAAGAAACGAACACAGCTTGCCTGACAAGCTTAAATCCTTGAAGATGGCTACGGCTCTGTGGCCGTTGACGCTTTGCTACTACTTGCGTATAAGTTCCCTCAAAGATTGAGAAATAAAAATCCCTACATTGCCTTTACACGGAAGAAAGGGCTTACGGCGCAGAAGAAACTGAACGAAGCAAACGATGCTTGCTCCCTCTACAGCCACAAAAACCAGTCGACGAAGCTGTACCGGACAAGCAGGAAGGAACTCTATAATCAACGACCAACCGCCGGGAGTGCAGACATGTTCTCAAAAAGGGGCCGCTGGTATAGGGTAGTACTCAGTCTTACCCTGCTACGGGCTCAGAGCTAGAGGATACAACTGGTGTATCAACAGCGGACCTGGGCTTGAAATTATAAACAGTTCTCAACCATAAGCTAAACCCAGAAAAGCCCTGTAAGTTGCAAACGGCTCTGAAAATTAGGCCCTGAAACGCGGAGCTGTGAAAGGCCAACGTAGTTCGGAACCTTTCAAATCTTCATACGGAACCACCTAAACCCTATACCCTAAACCCTAAACCCTAAACCCTAAACTTCGAGCGACGGCTCGTGCAAAAGGCAAGGGGCCAGCGCTTTCGACCACGCCTCCCCGCGCGAGTGGCAGGGTGCTCTGGGATCTTGTATGTAGGGTTTAGGGTTCAGGGTTTAGGGTTTGGGGGACAGGGTTGAGGGTTTAGGGTTTAGGGTTTCGGGTTTAGGGGTTAGGGGTTTAAGGTTTAGGTCCAAACTATGTGGGCCTTTCAGGCCACAGCTGCACTCAGGGGCGAAAAAAAGGGGCCCCGCTGAGACAACTGACCATACATAGAGCTTTTGGACTTCGGGGTGCATTCGTTCATCAAGCTCGGCCTTAGCGGATGTGATCGCTCACACTCCCTCTTGTCTCCAACCATCAGAAACTTTTTGAGGTGCATTCCGGATTCCCTCAGAAAGAAACATCTCCCAGTTCAGAATAGGACTCATTACTTCAGGACACATGATGAGCCGTCTCTGGGGCCTTGCCGATGAGGGTGGACGTCGTTCGCCGGTTGCAAGCGGCATCTGGGTCGAAGTCGAGGAACTCAGTCCTCAGCCACGAGCCAGCCCAGGATGCACGACACAGGGCCCAGGGCCTCGGGTTTAGGGTTTAATTAGGGTTTAGGAGCTTCATGGGTACTTATGACCCCATTTATAACGCATAACCCACTTAGGGGACTTTGGGGGCTACAAGTACAGGGAACCTCCAAGTAGCCCACCTTAAGAACAAAACCTACTTCTTTTGTAGCCTCGTATCATGAGACCCCTGGGTTCTGAGGTAGCCTACAAAAAAAGGTAGGCTTTGGGTTCTCAAGGCAAGGGTCCATATACGGAGTAAGGCGCTTGGCCCCCCCAAAGTCGTCGCAAAGGAAGGAGAGAGAAAGGGCCCAAGTGAAGCCTATTTGGACCTTGCGGTTGCGGAATGTTGAACAGCTCGATTGGCGATGGATGTGTTGCATAAATCCTAGTCTAGACCCGAGAGTAACCTACAAAAAGGGTGCCCTTTTTGGTTTGAGGGGGGGCTCTAATACAAAGGGAAGCTGAACTCTGCAAAAAGGGGAATAAGGGCCTACTCGAGGGGCCCCTCAAATTTGCAGGAAGGATGCTTGTTCACGGGGTGCTGAACTCCATAAAGTCGGAACATGGTTTAAGGACGAGTAGTGCTAGGATTCTCTTATGTTACAACTTTGGGAGTGTACTGTAAACTCGAAAAGTCAATGTCGTAAACTTTCCGAAGTTCTCCTGAACTTACGACCCGAACTCTTAACAGCAAACCCATGAAGATGGTGGGTGACCTGGCATTATCCACGGACCTCCCTGGGCCAAAGCTACAAGCTCAGACTCAACGGCTCGTGATTTGGGATTTGCGGGTTTAGGGCCCTGGGGTATAGGGCTTAAGGGCCCAGGGTGTACAGAGCCCTGACACCTAAAGCCAGCGCGCGAACGCGGCTGAAAACTCAGACGTCATCTCCCGGAAGGTTCAAGGTTCAGGGTTCAGGGTTTAGGGTTCAGGGTTTAGGGGCTTGCTGGCGCCTCCCTGAGTCCTGGCCTGAGTTGGGGTCTGCACGCTCCGGAGGAGACTCATCTACAAGTGTGAGTGAAAGTTTGGATGAGAAAACGTCACACGTTCGGGGCACAGGTTCAGGGTTTAGGGTTCAGGGTTCAGGCTTTAGGGCTTACGGACTTCTGAGATGGCAAACAAAACAGCTAGAACTTTGCCTGGCATCCCTGTCCCAACGACTCAGCCTCACTCCCAAGACCCTATCATATCTCCGCTCAGCATCCACAGCTGAGTTCGCAAAACCTCGGCAGTAGCACCGGGGCTTCGGGTATCTCTAACATACTGACACTTCTTCGCAGTTGAGGATACCGGGCGCCACTTTGCCGAGGACTCCTATACCCTAAACCCGAAACCCTAAATCCTAAACCCTAAATCCTAAACCCTAAACCCTACACCCTAAATCCTAAACCCTAAACCCACACATGGGGGGCATTTGAAGGCCACCTGTCTTCTTCACTACGGTCTTGGATGCCCAAGGGTGGAAGCCCTGATCTAAGGGTAGTTACATGGACCCTTGGTATGGGTTTAGGGTTTAGGGTTTAGGGTTTAGGGTTTAGGGTTTAGGGTTTAGGGTTTAGGGTTTAGGGTTTAGGGTTTAGGGTTTAGGGTTTAGGGTTTAGGGTTTCGGGTTTAGGGTTTAGGGTTTAGGGTTTAGGGTTTAGGGTTTAGGGTTCCGGGATTGGGGTTTAGGGTTCTGGGTGCTTATTATATGCCCATAACATACCCTGCGCGGCCCAAGGGCCCACACTTCAGAAAGGAAGTAAGGGTATTCAGGGCCCACAAAACTACCCTTAGAGAAACCCTGAACCCAACCCGGCCCTATAAAGCGTCCTCTGCGCCCTTCTGAGAAGGCGTACATCCCCAAGAATTGGGACAGTAAGTAAGAAACAAAAACCTACTCTTACGTAGGCTATTACTACGGAGACCTTTACTCTACTTTTTAGGTACGCTACAATACAAGTTACTCTAGGTAGGCCCGAATTAAGCTTTGCCCTAAACCAAACCTAAAACACCACTTGCAGTGCCTCTTGTGTGGTGCTTGATGTGTTCGTGATCTTCGGGTTTGGGCTTGATTTAAGGAACACTAGAGCTGCATGCTGCAAGCCCAAATCCTAAACCCTCAACGAGGTTCGACTGCACGTTCTGATGCCGGTGCCCTTCATGGGATTTAGGGATCTATGGTCAGGGAGGTTTAGGGCTTCGTGTCCCAACTCCCAAGCCCTGAGCCCTAAGCCGTAAACCCTCAACCCTAAACCCTAAACCCTGAACCCTAAACCCTGTGCCATAAACCCTCTAGCCTGACTGTTCTCAAACTGCCGCTGCCGAGTGTCGAGGCAGGTCATGTGCGCCCAGTACCCGCACGGTGGCCATGGCAGGTCATTGACCTTGGCTTTCCCTAAGCCTCCATGTACCTATGTCAGGGCTTAGGGTTTAGGGTTTAGGGTGTCGTACTATGTGAAGTAAGGTATGTATCTCTTGTATCCCCAAGAGGACACCCAATATATACACTCACCACTCACCAAGTACAGTAATATCAACCCTGCTTCATGTACCTATGTCGTACTTGGGCCTTGAGGGGGTTCCCGTATAGTAGCTTTGGGGCTCAAGCGAAAACTATAGAGGTACTTGGGCCCTGAGGGTTTAGGGTAGAGTAGCCGGAGCCCTAAACCACAAACCCTAAAATTCTATGGGCCGAACGGTTTGGGATGGTTTCTCTAAGTTCCAGTTTGGAGAATGGCAAGGGCACCATGGTCCGCTTGGTTAGGTGTATGCGAGATCCTTGCTGATCCTTGCTGAGTTCATAAGCCCCCAAAAAGTGTACACTTTTGGTTTTGGAGAGATGAAAGAATCCAAAACAATGTAAAGTGTACTCACTAAGGATCTTGATGCAACAGAAAGAGTCAGGATGCTGGAGACGCGCCTTGACTGTTGGATATAGCCCTACACCTACCCCAAGGACATAGCATGCACTACGGAGTTTAGGGTTTAGGGTTTGAGGTTTAGGGTTTGGGGTTTAGGGTTTAGGGTACTGCAGGATAGGTACCGGGTTCGTTGCAAGCTGCTCTACCAGGGCTACATAGCGTCGAGGCTTTGAGACCTCCAGCTTGCAACACCGAGCTCTCCTGGTGTTTGGGTTTGGGGCTGAGAGTTTAGGGCTTAGGACCTCACTAAAGTACGTGATGATAGGGCTGTAAGTACACGAAGTTGGGATAACACAAAGTACAACCTGGCTTGTAGCCTGCTGTACCGCCTTCCCAGCCCCAAAACAATAAATCACAAACCCTAAGCCCTGAACGCTACACCCAAAACCCTTTTAAACCCTAAACCCTAAAACCGAAACCCTAAACCCTAAACCCTAAACCCTAAACCCTAAACCCTGCAGCCGGAGGGGCGATGCTGGCCAGCAAGGTGACGCACGCAAAGCCGCTAATGACGCAGGGCCTGGCAACAAAAAAACAAACGTGTTCAAGAAGCCCTAAACCCTAAACCCTTAAACCCTAAACCCCAAACCCTAAGCCCCAAGACCCTGAACCCTATAAGCCCTAGGCCCTAAACTCTAAACCCAAAACCCTGAAACCCTGAAAGTGCACCGAAAGCTTGACTGACCTCTGAACCCTAAACCCTGAACCCCACATCCGAGTTGAGAATTAAGATGCTAAGCCGTATGGGGGTGATAGACTCGAGGTGTGTCATGGGAATCCTTCTTCTTGGCAATTCAAAACATGTAGTCCCAGGTTCGGTCAAGCATGCTACGGGTGTCGGAATGTTCGGCTTTTGACTTGTTAGTGGTCAGTCTTAGCAACCCATGGGAACTCTAAACCCTACACCCTCAAACTTAATTCCAAACAGGCTGCTGATGCGGATATGGCGAATTCCTTACCTCTTCGTGCCAGGTCTTCAGGGTTCAGGGTTCAAGGTTTAGGGTACTTCGATACATACCGTGTGTCACTGATTCCTCCTACCAGTATGTTCCGTAGCATGAAATAATCAATGGCTGCATACCGAACTGGCACTAATCGATCCGCAGTTGGTTAAGAGTTTAAGGTTTAGGGTTCAGGGTTTAGGGTTTATTATTAACCCAGCATTCGCAATGATGCGGAACTTTGCCGTCATTATTTCCACAACCACGTCTCGCAATCAGGCGGCGTCTGGGCACTGCATCACGGACTTCTCCTACAGGCCTCAGACAAATTCCATCTGTCAAGGATGGGGACGAATCGCGGGTCTTCCGCTTTTGTGGACGATTCGCGCGTCCGTGGCTGCGGTGAGGTTTGCAGCAGCTGGCTCCGATCACGGAAGCTTTGGTCCGCCGGGGAGTCCTTAGATCCCAGAGAGTAGCCTAGGAATCCTAATCCCCAATCCCCAATTGCAAGACCTTCTCAAGTGAAGTAGTATAAGGGAATCCTGAATGCTAGATGCCTAAAAGCAGAGTGAGGGCCCCCTGCAGAATACACAGGCTGACCCTAAACCCTCAACCCTCAACCCTCAACCCTAAACCCTAAACCCTAAACCCTTTCGGGCTCATGGGGGTGCTTAAGAGCAATTCCCGGCCCAACAAAAAGAGTATAGGGTTTAGGGTTTTAGGTTTAGGGTTTAGGGTCCAGGGCGAGTCACCCCTCAATCCGAAACGACAAAAACCCCCAATCCAAAGGCCTAGACCCCAAACTCCAGACCCTAAACCCAACAAAATCTCACTCCTCGCCGTAAACCCCAAACCCTAAACCCTAACCCCGAACCCTAAACCCTAAACCCGAAACCCCGAACTTCTGGGTCCCCGGACAGCTCGAACGGGCCCTTGGAGCTTAGCCGCAAGGGCTCCACGTTGTAGGCCACGTTGATCTCGTTGCTGTTTAGGGTTAATTTAAGGTTTAGTGTGTAGGGTGTAGGTGTTAGGATATGGTAGGGTTTGGGGTTTAGGGCTTCAGAAGTTTAGAGTTTAGAAAGTTTAGGATATGGTAGGGTTTAGGTCCAGGTTTTAGGGTTTGGGGTTTAGAAAGTTTAGGGTTTAGGATTTGGGCCAGGGGTCTAGGAATTTGACGTTTGGGGTTTTGGATGCTTGGGGTTTCGGGTTTGGGGTTCTAGGGTTGCTCGATGTTTGCGGAAGACTTTGAGGCTCCCTACTTTGGAGTAGACCCTGGAAAGCAAGTATATACTTTCTAGGTAGAAGTAGCCACAATAGGAACCCAGAACCAACAAAAGTATTAAAGTATAGTACTCCAAATCCCAGGGCTTGGGGCGTCTTCTTTAAGGGGTCTGGGCTGGAAGCTGGGACTGGGGGACTCCTGGGCTCTTTCTGAAGCTTGAACTCAACTTGGAGCTCGAAACAAGCAGTGCAAAACAAAGGGCGCTTCCCCAAAAGCGGCGTGCTGAAGAAGCCAGCGTGAAGCGCAGTTGCGTCTCAAGACACAGCCATGCCCCTGAACCCTAAACCCTAAACCCTAAACCCTAAACCCTAAACCCTAAGCCCTAAAACCCTAAAACCCTAAAAACCCTAAAACCCTAAAACCCTAAAACCCTAAAACCCTAAAACCCTAAAACCCTAAACCCTAAACCCTAAACCCTAAACCCTAAACCCTAAACCCTCAACACAACACCCTAAACCCTAAACCCTAAACCCTAAACCCTAAACCCTAAACCCTAAACCCTAAACCCTAAACCCTGAACCCTGAACCCTGAACCCTGAACCCTTGCCAGGGCCCCCCGGCAAACACGGCCAAAGGGAGCCACAGGGCCAGGGCGAGCCACCGGCCCGAGACCAAGGCTAGCACCTCGGGTTTTGTCATATTTTAAATATGTAGGTTTCGGTTTGGGGTTTAGGGTTTAGGGTTTTAGGGTTTTAGGGTTTTAGGCTTTTAGGGTTTTAGGGTTTAGGGTTTTAGGGTTTTAGGGGTTTAGGGTTGTGGGTTTAGGGTTGTGGGTTCAGGGTGGCATTTCTCGAAACTGCAGGTATCTTACTCGGCTCCTTGTCACAAGGCGGGAAACATACCTGTTGGGGGTCTAGATGCCCGTTATGATCGCAAACCGTTGAGTTTCAATCGCTATATAGACACACACATATGGGTAGTTGTCAAAATCAGGGTCCTTTTTTGGACACCCTAAATATTAGGTGCCATAATATATTCGGGACCCCAAAAGGACCATAACTCTGACAACCACCCATATCAACATTTATAAAGAACCATACATCATCATTACACTCACGAGCAGCCGTTCAGCTCAGGCTTTTTTGGGGGCGATGCGGGCTTAAGGGTTTAGGGGCTTAGGGGTTTAGGGGTTCAGGGGTTTAGGGTTTAGGGTTTCGGGTTTAGGGCTAGGGGCTGCGTCAAAGGCTGTCGAGCCCAAATTACCAAGCGGCCATGCTACATGAGTCTTGCTCTTTTTTGCTGCCATGTGAGGGCTATTGCCCTAAATAGAGGTGCACGCCCCAAGATAATATAATCCTGACGCCCGCACTCCGATGGGTAAAGTTCGGGGCCGAGGAAGGGTTTTAGGGTTGCAGGGCTTGGGGTTGAGGGTTCAGAGTTTATGGTTCACCCTAAACCCTAAACCAGGGCTCTAAACTTGAGGGGTGATGGGGTTTCGAGCCTATGGTTCACCTAGGGTGACCTTGTTGCATCTGTTTGAAGGTTCTCTTGACGGAATGCGGCCCATGTAACCGGCAACAGTGCACACCTGAACTTCCGGGGTGACCGGCACACGTTCCTGGTCTCGTTTGCGCCGAACCATGGTATAAGAAGCATGGTTCATATTTCTTGTATCCCCAAAAGCACACCCAATACACACACTCACCATTTTTAGAAAGGAACCCTATCTACACTCACCAAGAACAGTACTATAAACTCTGCTTCATATCCCTAAACCCTAAACCCTAAACCCTGAACCCTAAACAGCAATATAAATGTGGAGATGCCAAGATCGGTTCCAAGAGGGCCGGCTGCCTAGGAGGGCTGCCGAATAGCGCTTCTATGGTGTGGCTGCTGTCAAGTCAAATTCCAGCGGTCAGCCAGAACCCTAAACCCGAAACCCTAAACCCCTAAACCCCTAAACCCCGAAACCCGAAACCCTAAACCCTAAACCCTGAACCCTGAACCCTAAATCCTGCACCAAATACTAAACCTTAAACCTAGCGTTTGTGGCTTCTCGGCTCCGACTGCAAGTCAGGGTGCGATCACAGGCAGCACATTCAAGATCGCCATGATCCGGGGTAGGTCCTGCATGTGGGGCTTGGGGTTTAGGGTTGAGGGTTTAGGGTTCAGGGTTTTAGGGTTGAGGGTTGTGGGTTTAGGGCAAAGGGTTGGGGTTTAGGGTCTTGAGGTTAAGGAAAACATACAACCCTTGACCCCGAACCCCGAAGACCAGATAGAGGGATCTTTCATGGCATACACACATCCATCAAGACCTTCATAGGCGCCCTAAACCCAAAACCCTAAACCATAAACCCTAAGCCCTAAACCCTAAACCCTAAACCCTAAACCCTAAACCCTACTTTACCTGAGACAGGGAAGCCCTTCCACAAAGGCAGCAATGACGGCTGATCGTTACGCGTACGACTGCAATCTTTGGGCTCTTAACCCTAAACCTCAACGAAACCCATACACCCTCAACCCATAGCCCTTATTCTGCTCACAAGCCCTAGAAGAGCCCATTGAGAGGAGTCTGGAGGGCTCCGCATTCAGGCGCACAAAACAACTCTACCGTTGCACCCCGGCCCTCACGGCCACGAACACCTGGGGTTTGGGGTTTGGGGTTTAGGGTTTTGGGTTTAGGGTGTAGGGTTTGGGAGCGTTCAGTCCCTAAGCTGCTTTTGGCTGCATTTGGCACCGTACATGAAGTTCCCCTTGCGATCGTTGTTGGCATCCAGCTCCACATCCGTGTAATCCTTGGACTCTTAAACCTTAAACCTTAAACCCTAAACCCTAAACCCTAAACCCTAAACCCTAAACCCTAAACCCTAAACAGGCTGAAGGCCCTAAGGACGTAAATGGCTAGACGAGGCTTGTCAAATTGCATAAGGTTCAACAAGCACCAATCCAAGCGAGGTGCTTGACCCCAAACCCAAAACCCTAAGCCCCAACCCCAAAAACCTTTACCCGTAAAAAATAGGGTCTGACCCAAAGATCTTAACCCTGAGGTGTGGCCGAAACGACCGACCCAGGCACCCAAAACACGAAGAAGCAACTGAAATCCCGAAACGAGCACACACCCCGATGCCCACCACTTTTTTCGGTTTCTTAAGGGATGGTTTAGGGTTTAGGGCTTAGAGCGGGGGGTTCATGGGTAGGTACCTAGGGAAACTTAGGGAAGCTTAGGGAGCCTTCGGGAGTAGTGGGGAGTATTGGGGAACCTCGGGTTACATAGCCCCTTGAACCTCCTCCCCTAAGAACCCTGTAACAATCCCCAGCCTGACATCCTGCGAACCCACATCCCTTATAAGAGGAAAACCAAAGCCGTGGAAATTTCCTGGGTCACTCAAACCCCTAAACTAAAAAAAAAACTAAACAAAAGCCGTGCAAATTCCTGGGCCACTCAAACACCTAAACCCCAAAACTCAAGAAACACTAAGCAACCTGCGAAAGAATAAATGTCTAAAGTTTCAGGCCATGCACTCTAAGCAACCCTAAGCAACCCTCGAAAGCCCGAATTTCTAACGTTCAGCTGGCGCACATTCAGGCCATAAACCAGCAGGTTCAGCGGGAAGAGTACGTAGAGCAAGCCAAGCCAAAAGGGCCTCAGCTCAGAGGATTAAGTTAAGGAGCTATAGAGGTTTAAGGATTCAAAAGCCCTAAACCCTAAACCCTAAACCCTAAACCCTAAACCCTAAACCCTAAACCCTAAACCCTAAACCCTAAACCCTGGATTTCGTTTTGAAGGGTTTGAACATGGGAACCTGACCCAGTGGCAAAGGGAACAAAGGCCCGCTGTGGGACTCAGGAGGGAAGAGGGCTTAGCAAGCTCCAAGCATTTTTCCGGGTTCGAGTCGTTTAGGGTTTAGGGTTTAGGGTTTAGGGTTTAGGGTTTAGGGTTTAGGGTTTAGGGTTTAGGGTTTAGGGTTTAGGGTTTAGGGTTTAGGGTTTAGGGTTTAGGGTTTAGGGTTTAGGGTTTAGGGTTTAGGGTTTAGGGTTTAGGGGTGAGACTGCACTAGTGCTTGAGGGTTCAAGGATGGGCTTGTGGTAGGACTTCGGGTTTGAGGTCGCACTTCCACCACAGTCCATAAACCCTAAACCCTAAACCCCGTGCTCTGTGGCTGTGTGTTTGCATTCTGTTGCATCAGAGAGTCTCCTGAACCGCTAACTCTCGGAGAGTTCTGCGCTGGTTTTCGGAAGGATTTAGACATGCAAGATTGAGGATTTAGGGTGGGTTTAGGGTTTAGGGTTCAGGCTTCAGGGTTCAGGGTCCAGTTTTCAGGGTCTAGGACACCGAACAAGCAGGTGTGCTTCATTGTCGACTGGTCTCTACAGAGCCTACCTGACCTACCGGGAACAATCAAAATACCGAAAGATATTCTTATACCCAACAGCTGTAAAGGTAACAAATCAAGAAGGGGGTCCCTGGCTAAAGGCTACTGTGAGATGACTCCCAGATTGAGGCTTGAGTTTGGCACACCTTGGGAAAACACACCCCAGGGCAAGAAATCTTAAACCCTAAGCCCTGAACCCGAAACCCTACACCCTAAACTCTAAACCCTAAACCCTAAACCTGAAACGCTGAGGCCCATGCAGGGTTGTCAGCAGATGGTACTTCTGACCTGCACGTCAACTCCAAAACTTGAATCCGAATCCCCAGACCCTAACAACCCTCGGCCCGGCCCGGCCCGGTCCAGGGTTTAGGGTTTAGGGTTTAGGGTTTAGGGTTTAGGGTTTAGGGTTTCGGGTTTAGGTTTTAGGGTTTAGGGTTTCGGGTTTAGGGTGTAGGGTTTAGGGTTTAGGGTTGAGGATTTAGGGTTTAGGGTTTAGGGTTTAGGGGTTTAGGGTTTAGGGTTTAGGGTGTAGGGTTTAGGGTTTAGGGCGTCCTGTCAATCCGAAACCAACGAAAATGTCTGAAAAACTGCTGCTGCTGCTGCTGTGCCTTCACTCTGTGCCTTCTGTACTGCAACTTGTGCCCCTACTACCCCCCTCTATACTACCCGCCTAGGTACCCCTCTTACTTTTCCCTAAATAGCCTTAATTATGGGGGGAACCAAGGGGGGGGGTGTAGTATAGAGGGGGTAGTAGGGGAACCCGTGATGTAAGGTCTCTGAGAGCAAGCGAATTGAAACTCGATTCGAACAGATGTCTAGACACCAACGATGTGGAGATTCCGAAAATAGGGGGGTACGTCCTGATTATGATGGGATCTTACTATCTGGGGATCTATCTATCAGGCCCCCTACTTCCTAAACCCCCTTGTACTAGAAAGCACCGAAAATACTTCCTCCTTACACTAGCCCATACGACTGGGCCTCGGTGGCAATTCGAAATGGGGTGACCAATTTATGATCTTCCCCGGGGCCAAATCTCCCGAGATTGGATCTTACTACTCCAGTTAGGGTTTAGGGTTTCGCGTTTAGGGTTTGGGGAATCCAGGTACTATTCCAGTACCGTTCCAGCATATTGTCCTGCCACGCAAACAGTGGCTTCCGGGTGTAGGCAGTGAGTGCATTTGCAGGTCTTCCGGCTTTATGCTTGGTAGCCCAGTAACCATATTAAAATAAGGGCCCCCTTTTTTGGGTTGGCTGCTTTTGGAAGGGAACCTTGAACCAAAAAAGGGTACCACTGGGCTACCGAGTATGGATAGCCGGACATTCAGGGCGGCCGTTTTGAACGTGACTGTGGCGACCTCCTGTTACCACGCGTAAATCAACCACCATTCGGGCCTGCGCCTGCCAACCGTCACATTTGCCTGCCGCCCGGATCGTGCCAGGTTTGTTGCCCCGAAACCCTAAACCCTAAACCCTAAACCCTAAACCCTAAACCCTAAACCGGTTAATTCCAGTGGCCGATTGACCCGTGCGGGATGCACCTCTCCTCGATAAACCCAGCCCAGTTCACGAGCATGAACATGCTGCCCTTGACCTGTTAGAGGTAATCTCGAGCACATCCTCCGTCTTGCCTCCAAACTCCCTGTCGGCCAGTTCCTCAAAAGGACCCGACGCCAAGCTTCTCCAGCCGGACATGATGATGTTGCCGTGCCTGTGCTTGCACAGCACTTCCAGGGCAGACACGCCCGAAGACGAGGAGAGAAGCAAGCAGGACTTCATGACCGGCTGTTAGCTCGAAGACGAAGCGTTGGATGCAGACGGATCCCAGGCACAACAGGCACGGCATGCTAACGCGAAGGGCTTGCTCTGCAAGCTAATGTGGGAAAGGACCAGGTAACCCTAAGCCCCAAACCCTAAATCCAGTTCTCTAAATAAGGGTCGCTGTTTTGCGCCCTTTCTGTAATACGGCACCCCTGAAATCGGCGACAGCCCTAGACCTCAGGCCCGAGGCCCAAGATCCTAAGCCTTCAACCCTAAGCCCTAAGCTCTAAGCGAAACCCCTTAGCTCTAAGCCAAAAACCCTAAGCCCTAGGCCAAGAGCCGTAAGCCCTGAGCACTAAGCGGGTTCAGGGTTCAGGGTTCAGATTCTAGGGTTTAGGAGTCCCAAGCCCAAAAGTGCCATAAGCGCTAAACCCCGAACCCAAGGTAGACCCAGGTCCATCTCGACCCCCTGGAAGCCGGCAACAGCACTAGGGTTTAGGGTTTCGGGTTTAGTCCTTAAGGTTTCCCGAAAGATCTGAAGCCAAAGAGGGCAACCTCTAATTAACTTTTTCCAGGTAGTCCTAGAACCGAACAGCACCCTTTTGACGAACTCTTGAAGAAGTTAAGGGAAACCCAAACCCCTTTTAAAGGCATAATGGCACTACTGGGCCCAGGCTAAACCCCCGTCTCTAAGGCCTAAGCAGTAATCTCTAAACCCTAAACCCTCAACCCGAAACTCAACACCCTAACCCTAAACACCCCTAAACCCAGGCTGGGCCTGTGGGAGCCAGGTAGAGCCAGATGTGCACCAACCACCACCCCGGTCTGTTGCAGGATGCTCAGGGGGTTGAGGCTTCGGGTTTCTAGAATGTAGGGCTTGAGGTTCAGGTAACTTTTATTTGGCATGAGTGGGGAAGTATAGTAAGGTGCCACGGGTCCTGAAACGGTCTTGAACCAGCAGAGTGGCGACTGCTGGCCGGATTTCATGTCCTCAGCCTCAAGCCGACACCCCGAAGCCGAAGTCTGCTAACTGGGGTCAAGCCCCTAAGCCCGAGACCCCAAACCCGATCGCCCAGGACTCCCAGGACTGATCCTCCTAAACCCTAAACCCTAAACCCTAAACCCTAAACCCTAAACCCTAAACCCTAAACCCTAAACCCTAAACCCTAAACCCTAAACCCTAAACCCTAAACCCTGAACCCTGAACCCTGAACCCTGAACCCTGAACCCTAAGCCAAAACCCTGAACCAACCCTCCTGATCAGCCTGCTGAGCTGCACCAAGGTCTTCCAATCCAGACAATCGGTCCGCCCGCAGTCCCAGGCCTTAACATCATGCAGGTGACCCTGTTTAGCCTACTTCGACCCCCAAGTCTAGCCCTAACCCTAAACCCTAAACCCTAAACCTTAAAACCTAAAACGCTAAACCCTTTTGGGTTTGGGGTTTAGGGCTTGGGGGCTGCGAGTCTTTGCAGATGATCCCAACCATGAAAAACGAGTATCTCTGCCATGGGTAAGGCTGGTCATGGACCGTACGGGCTTGGGATGTACTCGCCAGTCTCCAACCTCCTGCGATGCCCTATAGTTAAACGGGAAAAATTCCGGTCTAGGGCTGAAGGGAAACCGAAACCCTAAACCCTAAACCCGTCTAGGTGGCCGGGCTGAGTTCTTTCGACTGAGCGGTTGAGGGTTTAGGGTTTTAGGGTGTAGGGTTTATGAGTAGTAGATTCATCGAATTGAACATGGATTTGGGCCCTTTCAAGGCCAAACACCCTACACCGTTAACCTGAAGCTCGAGCTGACAGGCTGGGCACTCAACAACTACTATTTGCTTAAGACCCCGCAAATATATAAGTAAATGTACATATATATATATACATATTTATATTTATATTTATATATATATATATATTTATTTATTTATTTATATATTTATCTATTTGTTTATTTATGTATTTATTTATTTATATGTACTTAAACGCTTGTAAGGGCAATCTAGGGGCTATGATTCAATTATTTTGGGGTGTTCTTAAGCAAATAGTATAGACAAGATGTACCAGTTTCGATTTGGCTGCGTTTACACCCGCAAGCAGGAGAGTTTGAGCGCAGGGCAGTAGGAAGCGCCAGCAGCTTCGACAGCTCTAACATGCCCATGCCTGGCACACGACAAGTTTGTTCATTTTGGTTTTGCTGTTGATCTCTTCCTCTCTTCCTCCGTCAGGTCTCTCTCTTTCTCTCTCTTTTGGTTCTATTCTCTAGCTCTCTCTCTCTCTCTCACACTCAGCTTCTCTGTCTGTTCCCCGTGCGTTTGTGTGTGTGCATGTATGTATGTACCTATGTATGTATGTATGTATGTATGTATGTATGTATGTATGTATGTATGTATGTATGTGCGTGCGAGTTTGTGTGTGCAAACACAGTACTGTGAGGCCTGATGCTTTCAATGTGCTTTCAAGCAAGCAATGGCAAACCCAGCACATGAACCCCGCCGCGCACAAGCAACAATCCGGCCGCCCAATTCCTATGCAGCACAAAACCACATCACACAAACTGGGGGGGGGGGAGAGCAATCCAACTTGTATCTTTTTTTGGTACCCCTCCGGGCTCAAAATGGGGGCACCACCTTCAAATCTCAAGACTCGATCAACCGAGGGTCGCGCGGTCTTAGGGTTTTAAGCTTGCTTGGAGATGATTCAACGGAATGAACAAGTGAAACAGCTCATTGGGAGGTTGATGGGACGGTTGAACTCTTAGAGGCTCAGAAGGGCTTTAGGTACGTTACCTTCATGACCTATGCGTGCCCTATGCTAGCCAAATGCAGGCTTGCAGCTGGGACCATAAACTAAGCCATCAATCATTGGGGTTTAGGGTTCTTAGGGATCTCAGGTTATTAGGGTTCTTAGGATTAGACTGCCCGGTGGACCCATAAATCCTACACCCTCAGCGCAACCCCGAAACCCTAAACTCTAAACCCGAAACCCTGAACACTAAACCCTACACCCTCAACACGAAACACTAAACCCTAAACCCGAAACCCTAAATCCTAAACCCTAAACCCTAGCTACTTGCTAACTGCGCCTGCCTGCAGCAGGCCACAAGGCGCCGCTGTGGCTACGCTGAGCAGCCAGGGCGCACGGACAGCGAAGGTTTAGGTTTCCCCCCCTTAGGGTTTAGGGTTCCCCCCTTGGGGTTTAGGGTTTGGGGTTAGGGATTAGGCCTTAGGGTTTAGGGCTAGGAAAATTCGGGTTGAGGGTTTAGGCCCCCCCCCGCCCCCACCCACCCCCCCGCCCCCACCCACCCCCCCGCCCCCACCCACCCCCCCTTCAAAGAAAATCCCGACCCATTTAGTCCAGGTCCACCTACAAGGCCTGTCTTTTTCTTAGGTCGGGAGCGGGGGCGGGGGCGGGGATCTACTCATATCAAAGGCGATGGGGCTAGTGCTTGTGGACATGGGTTGGCTGCGTTGCTATGGGGCTTGGGGGGAGTACATCCCTGAACCCTCAACCCTGGATGAAGGCCTGCGGCCCACTTCTCGAAACCCAACCACTTCAGCTAAGAACGGCAAAGAGCTGTTGGCTCCCTGAGGGTTTAGGGTTTAGGGTTTAGGGTCTAGGGTTTAGGGTTTAGGGACTTAAACCGCCCTGTATCACAGCCGTGGTAGCCGAGATCATAAAGCCCTAAACCCACGTGCAAACCTCCGTAGGTCTCAGTGCTAAGCCGTAGATGATATACAGGGCCTCCCCAAACTTCCGCAAAAAGGGATACGCTCCCATGAATCAGCAACTACGACTGCACCCCTTACGCAAAATAAAAAAGAAGCCCTAAGGGTTTCATGGTGCAGAATGTGCCCACAAGCCTAAGTTGCTGAGGTTCCGAGCTTTAGGGCTGTTGAAGCCTAGTTTTCGCAGGTTGAGAGTTTAGGGTTTAGGGGTGTAGGCTCTCGGGCTTAGGGTTTAGGGCTTACAGTGCTTGCTTGTCTTTGGGGCTTCAGGGCTTAGGGTATTGTTTGGTACCCTGACCCGCCTCGGGTTCTGGAAAGCCCTGAGCTAGACATCCAACAATTAAGCCTGAACCCTAAACCCTTAACCCTAAACTATACACCAATTACCCAAGTAGAGCCAACGTCCTTCGGGAAGTGCGCCTTGCACCTCAACTCGGCTCTGATGGCTCAGGGAGGCTTAGGGGTCAGGGTTCAGGGTTCAGGGTTTAGGGTTTAGAGTTTGGGGTTTATGGTTTAGGGCCTTTAGGGTTTGGGGTTTGGGGTTTAAGGATTAGGGTTTGGGGTTTAGGGGCTGGGGTTCTGGGATTTGGGCTTAGGGTTTAGGATGTTTTGGGTTGAAGGATGTTGGCTCGGGCTTTGCGGTTCAGGGGTTGAGATCGCAACCTCCACAAGCTTGAACCCTAAACCCTAAACCCTAAACCCCAAACCCCAAACCCTAAACCTAAACCCTAAACCCTAAACCCTAACCCTAAACCCTAAACTTACCCTAAACCCTAGATGCCTGTATCCTATACTAATAACCCCCCCCCCCCCCCCCCTGCCTCCCCAGAAGCCGGAGCCCTAACTCTCGCAAGCCCAAAGACCACCAACCCTCGAGCGTTCAAGTCTTTCAAGCCCGGAACTCTCAAAGCCCGAAGCTTTGGGATTTGGGATTTGGGGTTTAGGGTTTAGGGTTTAGGAGTTAGGGTTTAGGACTTAGGGTTCAGGTGCTTGGGGGCTCAGGGGCTTAGGGGTTTAGGGCTTTAGGCAACTTCCACCGTACAACTGAAGGCTCTTCTTTGTAGTTCCATTTTGGGTTAGTGACAGGGAAGTCGAGTATATTTCCCTCCAAAAAGGTACAAACCCTAAACCCTAAACCCTACACCCTAAACCCTAACCCTAAACCCTAAGCCCTAAACCCTAACGTACATCAGAGACTCTTGGCAAGCCCAAGGGCCTTAGAGGTGGGTTTGCTAGGTGGTTGAAGCCCTAAACTCAAATTCCTGAACCCTAAAGCCCTACATCCTAAAACCGGAAGAG